ATCACTTACCATAAACCCCACCATTACCTTCAGCTTTTTCCAACTCACAACGACCATATAAAAGAAACAGAAGTGGCCCATAGGATTTCCTAGATTGTAAAACTTTATTGAAGTAGGTTGCCTAATCTTTCCGCTGTGGAACCACAGATGGGTACAAACAGCTGGTCTCTCTATCAGCATACCAGTGTTTACCACACTGCACCACCTGGCTTCCTATCTATGATTTCCCAAAGCATGCTCCGATCCCGGGACCACATGGATTGGTGGTGGTGGTGGTGGTGGTGATTGTGTACCAACTCATTGCTGATTCCCTACCAGGTTTTCAGAGACTGTTGATTATACAGGAGGAGATTGCCCACCTTTCTCCATGGAGCAGTTGGTTGGTTTGAACCAACTTCATGACTGTAGCACAGCTTTTTCTTCTGAATAATTAGTGTCTTCTTCATTCAGTATTCTCCTAGAAGAGAACTAGATTTAGTTATGGCTAGAAGATTTATACAGGTTTGGCTTAGGAAAAGCATGCGTCACTTCCAATCATACCCCATGACCAAAATTTGGTCATATGAGTTGACCTAATTGCAAGAGCAAATGGTCTAACTACACACCAAGAAGAAAATAAAAATCTGCATAATGGTGAGTAATCTCTGAATAGCTAAAATATTCAAACCCAATGGCATCAAGTCAGAACCAACTAATAGCTGACCCTCTCTCTAATGGGTTTTCAGAAGCTTAAATTGAATAGAAGGAGATTGTCTGCTTTTCTCCCATGGAGCAGCTGCTGGACTTGAACTACCTACCTTTGGGTTTGTAGCCCAACTGCTTATTCACTAGGTCACCAGAGCTCCCTATATAAAAATAAGAACTGCAATTTATAAGCCTGTCCCAATGGTCTTTGACTCAAAGAATGAACAGCAGTGATATCAAAGATGGTATTTCTTTTCCTCAGCCCAGTGTAGTATCAAGGTAACTAGGTAAACACAGAGGATTTGCTGACCACTGCTCCACCTTGTCACCCTGCATTTCAAACTTCAAAGCCCACTGTCAGGAGAGGGGACTGAAATACAGCAGACTGGTCTTCAAACCTGTTCTCCCTCTGAGGTCCCAAAGAAGACACTATTGTCAAAAAGATTAAAGTCTTGGCAGGAAACAACAGTTGAGCATTCACTAACTATTATGAAAAGCAAACAATATTCCTGATAAAATCATAAAGTATATATTAGAGCTGTTCTCTTACAACATGGCTCACCGATACAGAGACACCTAGTCTGAGGGCTGAACAACTACAATATTTCAAGGCAAGTATCTTAACTGACTTCCAACTCCATTTTCCCATCTACACATCACACCACTCATTAATAAGAAGAGGGGGGGAAAGAGAGTCAATTACGTGATTTGCAACCATCATTTTTTAATATAAAATAGAATCTGTCTTCCTCATTACTATCTAAACTGGAACCTGTAACTGACCCTCCATTGAGTTTCTGAGACTATAAATCACATGAGAGATTGGCCAACTATCTTTTGAGGGGCAACTAGTAGATTTGAACTGCCAGAGAGCCTTAGCTTTTACACAAGTAGCCTTGTTCCCTAGAGATTATGCAATTGTGACTCTCTTATAAAAATAGAAATTATACTGCTCTTATTGTCATTAAATTCTCATACTCACTCATTAATTGTGACCCTAAGAACAACAGGTTGGAATGTTGCCCATCCTGTGGCATCTTCACAATCTCCTGTGTATTCGAGCCTGCGGTTAAAGTAACTGTGCCAATACATTTCACTGAGGATTGCCCTCTCTCTGGCTGACCCTCAGCCTTTCCCAGAATGATGTCTCCTTCCAAGGCCTGGTTCTTCCTGTTCACATGGACCAAAGTAGGTGAGAACAAGTTTCCTGCCTCTGAGGAACACCATGGTTATACTTCCTCCAGCACAGATGTGTTTGTGTTTTGGCCATCCATAGGATATTAAATACTCTGTGGCAACATCAGGATTAACTAGAATGGATTTAGAAAGACATCAAAGCACATTATCCATTGTAAGAATAGATTATTCAGTGAATTTTTTCTTTGGATACAAAAACCACCAACACTGATCAAAATGAAAAATGTGTATTTCTAATTGTGGGTCATGGTCTAAGATGTTTGAAAAGCACTGACTTATAAGATAAGTAGATAAATATAAATTATTAGATAAATCTATAGAAAGTTGCCATATCTCAAGGAGAGAGGATTGATATAACTGGTTTTTAGAAAACACTGAACCACTTGGATGAGTCTAGTGGACATGCTGAGTGAAGCAAGTCACAAATAAACAAAGTGCTGTTGTACAAAGAAATACTAGAGAAGTTTAAATAGAGAAAATATGGTGGGGGGTTTTCACCTGGTGAAAAAATATGGTGTGGGCAAATACAGTAATGAACACTGTTGGATTAAGTGTTGGTATTGCAGGAAAGGGTATACACAAGTATAGAAGATTGGCAAGGGAAGCTGACTTTTCAGAGAGGTCAGTGAGGTGGAGGGGAAGCCAATTACAGAGAAGAAAAGTTTATATTGTATGCTTACATAGTGTACTTTGTAAAACTAGCTTTTTGAACTAAAAAAAATAAATAGATGTTTGGTGAGGCTATTTGGGAAGTCATAGAAATGTTTTCCAACTGAATAGTAGCAACAGGAATGCATTTGTTAAATTTAACAAGTAATTTTTATAGTATGTAAATTAAACCTCAATAAATAGTATCATAAAATTGAAAAAAATATAATTATGTTTCTAAATGCCAGTCTCAAAAACTTCTTAGGTTATGCATATTAATAGATAACTTAAACAGTACCTCAATTATTTCCCTTGTATTTTTGGTTTTTTTTAAGATCAATATTAGGTTTTAAAAGGTGAACAATTAGCAAACATAAAGCTAAATTCAACTTCCTCTTTCTGTGAAGTGACACCAAACTGACATAAATTATAACTCCTGAGTAATGTTTTTCTACTTATGTTCTGTTGATCATCTATTTGATTTTCTTCTCCAGGAAATGAGCAAACATATATTGCAATAAACAATTGTGTTCTTTTATTTGATCCATTCTTTTTTTTCTGAATTGCTCTGAAAAGTATAAATTATTCTTGCATGGAGTAAAGAGAGGCAACCAGAAACCTGATATTATCAGTTGTGATGGTTAATGGCGTGTGACAATGTGGCCATAGTTATCAGTATAATGCAGTTAGCACTCAGTGTTGTAAATCTTAACCTCTACAATGTTATGAGGCTAGGTTAGAGGAAGTTACATAATAATATGATCAGTGTTGATCAAGTGTAGGAGAAATCTCCTGAAGAATGTGACCTGCATTCAATATCTGTATTGCCTCTGGCAAAGCTAGCCAGGTGTTTGCTGATTTAGATTCCCACATCTAGTGCATCAGCTCTGGACCTGAATGAGCTGCTTGCCCTACTTGCCAACCTGGAACTTGTCAGCTTCAAAAGCCAGCAGTCTGAAACCCTGCCTGATGACCTTGGACTCTCTTGGACCCATTAGCAGATTTCTCTCTCTCTCTCTCTCTCCCTCCCTCCCTCCCTCCCTCTCTCCCTCCCCCAGGACCAAAGACTTCAATCTATACAAGCATGTGAACAATTTCCTTGAAATATCATTTTGTTTATCAATCCACTAATGTCACAGTAGTTATCAAAAATTTGGATAGGGTTTTGGTTGGGTAATTATAATCAAAACTATGTCGTGAATGGCCAGAAGAATGAACAAATCTGTCTTGGAAGAAGTCCAAATAGAATGCTCCGTAGAAGCAAAGATGGCGAGACTCTTCCTTACGTTGAAGACCTACAGTCAGTAGGAACCAGTCATCAAATCGCCTCCTCTAATGTGCTAGCATGAACAGGCCATCATTCTCAGGGTTTTGGCTGCAATGATGTAATATGGCATTAGTACAATGATGTAATCATCCCTATGGTGTGGCCTGAGATAATCAGCCTTATTCTATATAAAGGCACTAGTTAGAATGGAATGCATTACTGTTAAACTGGCCCAGTGACGGAGGAGCCTCCCTGAGGTGTTGCCCAAAGCATCTTTTATCTTATAAGAGGTTACTGGAGAGAGAAGCAAGTGAGAGTGGAATGGGGGATAGAAGTCAATACTAACAAGAAAGAATGCCAGGAGTAGAGTGTAACCTCTGAGCTCTGTTCTGAGAACTTCCTTATTGCAAGGGAAGGTTAAGGCATGTGGAGATCCCCAACGCATGCTGTGCCTAAAGATGCCAAGGGGAAGCAAGGGCTTCCTCTAAAACTGTGAGCCAATAGAGAGAAAAAGCTTTTTCTAGACACACACCAAAGAACTCTGGTGGCTTAGAGGGTAAGGAGCTGTACTCCAAATCATATGCAGATGTGGTTTGAATCCACCAGCTGCTCCATAGCACAGAGAGGGACAATATCATATTGTGAGAGTTACAGTCTCGAAAAACTTGCTTGAGGGTCACTAGGAGTTGATTCTGACTCAAGAGCACATAACAACAACAGCTGTTCTCCTCTGACACACATGAGGTTGTCATGCATGAGTCAGAATTAACTTGATAGCATCTGGCTTGCCTTAAGTAAGTTATATTCCGGGACATTTCTCACCACCTACTGTTTGATGATTATTGCACCATGAGAGAGTTAAGAAAGTGTGAACAGTACTGCTGGAAGCAGCTGGTTTGGCAGAGGGCAGTAAGATGCACCTGATGCAAACGTGTGTGACTTATTACTCCCATGAGCAACACACCGTGAGGGTTTAGGCTGGGAAGACGGTTCAGTTGGAATTCTTCATCTTACTGATGAGAAAATTGTGTGGTGAAGCCAAGTGAGTTCAGAGACCCGTGGATTTCAACCTAACCTTCCTGTGCATCAATTTTCATCATCTGAGAGATAGAAGGGGCAAAAATCGAAGCAGCCGGGCCTCCGCCTCCCACCTGGTCGGCTACTTCCAAAAGGAACGAGAAGCGGTCCTTCTGTTCCACGCAGCATGCTCTCAATTTCACAGGCAACACTGAAATCAGGGAGACAGGTGAGCCAGACAGATGGTCCCAGATACATCCCACTTCCGGTGCCCTCCAAGGACACGCTGGATCTCCACGCCCGTATTTCAGAGCGAAGCCAGGCTTGCTGCAAGTGCCTATAGAGAGATCTGCATTCACTTATGCGTGGAACAGCTACTTGCAAAGGAAATGGAGCTAGTCACACGACTGCATGTCAGATGATTCCATTTTTTACGAGGCGTTCAGAATCGGCAAAGCTACAGTGACACAGAGGAGATTCACGGTTGCCAGGGGCTGGATGCAGACAGGGGCGCATGGAGAGTGACTGCTGAGGATGTATGGAGTTTTTTTTCCTGGAATGATGAAACTGTTCTAAAATTAGGTAACAGTGATGGCGGCACAGCTCTGCGAATGTGCTTGAAAGCAATGCATTGCATACTGCAAATGGGTGAATTTTATATGTGACTTAGACCTCAGCAAGTTATTCATTTATTTTTTAAATTTATTGTGTATACTGATACTTTAAGCACATCCTATGAATATAGCACTAGAACTTTCAGGGAGAAGATCAATAGCAGTGGAGTGCATAGTAGAATGTAGTTTGAATGCTGTCTTAAAGAAACATACATGGAGTTAAAAGAAATTCCATTTATTTTAGCCATGAGTGTAGGTATGGCAGTTAGATTCAAAGACTTCAGATACAAGCAAAAATTATTGCCAGCTGGCTGAATTTTCACTAGCTCCTTCTCTATTTTCTAATCACAAAGACATCTCTAGAAGCTCCTTGGAAAGATTCAGAAACCTGGTCTCATGCCCCAGCTTTACTGTTTACCAAGCAGTGACCTTGAACAAATTCCACAATCTCCCCACGTGCCAATTGCTCTTCTATTAAGTAAGCATGATAGTAGTCCTGTCTCCCAGGCCTATGAGAACTAACAAGATGACGCATTCGTGCAGAATACAGAGTGGAGGGGCTTGAAAAGCAAATCGCTTTATCTCTGTGTCTCAGAATCTTTACTTGGCAGAATAGAAAAGTAGTTGAATCCATGTTCGACAGTTGTGAGAATGAAATGAGGTGAGGACACATACAATAATCAAAATCTTTCATTCATGACCCAAAAGTGTCACACACACTGCTGAAAGAATACACTGTTGCCTGGTAAAGCTGTGTGCAGTCAAAAGAAGAATATTAGATGTGCAACAATGGATGAATTAAAACCTAATATAAGTTTTCATTACAATCAATGAAAATAAAAAGATTACTTAAACAACAAGAAGGGTATTGAAAATAGCAACATTTACAGGAGTTATATAACCAATTAGAGCCCTTTGATCTCACACATTTAAGTTTAGCACTTTTGGCGGTTCCACTAGGTGATTCTGCTTTAACTATAGTATCATACAGCTTTCCAACTGATCATATAAAATGGAACCCTCTCTTTAAAACTATAAAATGGAACTCTCTCTATTTATTTTACTTATAAAAAAACACATAGTTTCCTTTAAACCCCTGGTTTTAAATATTTGCTCTAGCCTCTCACATATGCAAACAATATAGGATTACAGATGCCAAGTTTTTCCATCTCAAAGGATATTTCTTCTTCCTACTTTTTCAAGCAACAGGAATCATGTTTCTCATCCTCCACATACTCCAAAGTGTGTCAGGACAGCATCAAAATAATTGGGAAACTGAAGGAAGGTAGGAAGGATGTAATTACCAGAATCTGAAATTACAAAAATATTCCATGTTTTTGCTTCCTTTGCATTGAATTGACCACTTTGTGTGGGTCCTGAGGAATTTGGTGAACATTAGAAACCACGTGGTACTCAACATCAAGTGTTCAGGGTTGTGCATGTCGATGGGAAGAGATTGCCTTATCTTATGGTGCATTTGACCTTTTGTTTGACAGACCATGATGCACTATGGCCTCCACTGCCCTCATTAGAATAGTGCTCAGTATCCCTGCCTGTAATATGGGAATTCAGGGTTCGTTTCCTTGTTAAGGAGGTATACATCATTTTGGAGCTGTGGTGCCCTACTAGTAAAAAGCTGCACTGCAATCTTGAATGTTCATGGTTCAAAGCCACCAACTGCTCACAGGAGAAGGATAGACAACCTCTTCAAATGCGTTTAACTGTCTCTGAAGACCATCTGGAGAGTCTGCTATGGGTTGGTTCTGACTCTATAGTATACAACAACAGTAATATGTTCTGTAAGCTCGTTAGCTATCCTAAATACTTTCCTTATTTTCCAACAGTTCAATTCAGATTAACTATATATATTGGTATATTGCTCACATAAATGTCCATTTTCAAAATAACCAGATCTTTGTTAGAAAGCATGCCATTTCTATTTGTACAATATTTTGTATGTGGAGGCAATGCTTAATAGCTCACTTGGTGGGTGAAAAAAATTCAGTCAGTTTCATTTATTTAAAAACATTTTTAGTCATGTTCACTTATTTTTAAAGTATATTTTATTTATGTTCCTTTTTTTCTCACCAAATGAGTTAGTAAGCTATGCCATCTCACACCAAACTACTACGCAAATAGAAAATGAATTCTAAAAAAAAGTTGCTTATTTTGAAAATAGACGTTTACAAAATGTTAGCTTTCTTTAAATCCAGACTTACTCTGTCAATAAAAGGTAAGAGCATATGAAAAAAGTACGGTCAATTAGCTTAAATCTACGTTTGAAAAACATGACCATCCACCTTAGGATTTTTAAAATTGAAAGGCAGTATATAAAGAAGCAAATGAAAGTCCTGTGAGAAATTCAGTCATGGTAATCCTAATATACATGCTGCGCCTGTCGCATATACAGAAGAAAATTGCCTTGACATTCACCTTTTCTCTGGGAAAGTAAGCACTTCTTTGATTTGGCTGTGCTGGGAACAACTGCATCTGTTGTATGATATTGATGAACTTCAATTTGGAACCGCCAGCACTGTACTTCTCTCTATCAGTAATAGGACACATATAAATGATTAAAATGAGGCAACCAGGAACCTGATATTGCCAGTCATCCCTAGGATCCAATTCATTTATCAGCCTGCCCAGGTTGCTGACCTCAATTACCCAAGGGACTGGATACTAGAATGATTAATTGATCCGCCTTCTCATTTCACTCACTTTATTTGAAGGAGAAAAGAAGGGAAATGTTTTTCAGTGAATTGACTTAAAGGCAACTGTTTAGTTTGCTCTGTCCAATTAAAAGAGCAATTAATAGTAGTGAGAAATATTAGTACATATTATTATAGAGATAAATAGTGGAAACTAACATTTGTTCTAACAAATTTAATCTGCTTATTACAATTATCTATACTACTGTAAACCTTAAAAAATATGTTGTTGTCCTTGTTGTTAGCTGCCATCGAGTTGAGTATGACTCATAGCAACCCTACAAACAAAAGATCTATACTCTGTTCTATCCTTCACTATCCACAAACTTCCTGACACACAACGACCCATTGCAGCAGTCACCATATCAAACCAAGTGGTTGAGGATCTTCCTCTCCTTTGCCGACCCTCCACCCTTCCCAGCATCATATCCTTCTCCAAGGACTAGCACCTCCTGGAAACATCTCCAAAGCATGTGAGGGAAAGCCTCACCTTTCCTGCCTCCAAAGAGCACTCTGGCTGCATCCTTTCCAAGACATATCTGTTTACAGCTATACAAATTGGGGGGAAAAAATAGATATATCAGAGGTATAGCAATCTAATTGAATTTCTTTTCTGTAAGAAAGTATTTGCTGGAGATGAGTATTGAATATACCGTGGACTGCTAGGAGAACAAACAAGTTCATCCTGGAGAAGGGGAAGCCAGGCTGCTCCTTGAAGGCAAGGGTTCTGAAGCTTCATCTGACTTACTTTGGACATGTTGCAAATTAGGATCACTCCTTGGAGAGGGACATCATGCTTGGGAGGGTGAAGGGACAACACAAGAGAGGAAGATCCTCGATGAGATGGATTGATTCCATCACTGGGGTAATGTGGATAGGGATGTCGGACACAATAAGATTGGCAAGGGATATAGCAGGGGTTAAGGCTGTTGTACATAGAGTCGCTGAGTCACAGGTGACTCGATGGCACATAACAACAAGAAGAAAATATTTAAACAATTTTTAAAAGCATGTTGCATATACAATCCTTAATGAAGGACTATTATGTTGAGTAAAGAATTTTCTTCAGAACAACAGAACTAAAATTGACCATTGGGATTTTTCTATAAATGATATTACCTTCCTTATAAAATGAAAATAATAGGGAGAAATACAAACTACATACATATAAACAAATTTATTTTTATTGTAGTAGTCAAATAATTAAAGAATCAATCCATTCTAAGCATATGGATGCAATACTCAAGACTGTTCAAATAGATTATACTAAGCAGTGTGCTCAGAAATACTTAACAACTCATTGAGAGATAGAAGACTAATATGTAGTGTTTGTGGATTTTTCCTACCATGGTAGTTCCAATCTTCCAATGTAATGTTGCTAAACATGGAGTTGGAAAGCAATGTGTCTTAAAACACTATTGGTATTGTGTTGTTGTTGTTGTTGTTGTTGTTGTTGTTATGTGCCGAGTTGTCTGTGACTCACAGCGGCCCTATGTACAACAGCCCTAAACCCTGCTCTATCCCTTGCCAGTTTCACTGTCTCTTGACATGCCTATTCCCATTACCCCAGTGACGGAATCAATCCACCTCATCAAGGGTCTTCCTCTCCTGCGCTGTCCCTCCACTCTCCCAAGCATGATGTCCCTCTCCAAGGACTGGTCTAGCCTTGCAACATGTGCAAAGTATATAAGTCAGAGCTTCAGAATCCTTGTCTCAAGGACCAGCCTGGCTTCACCTTCTCCTGGATGAACTTGTTTGTTCTCCTAGCAGTACATGATATATTCAATACTCTTCTCCAGCACCACAGCTCAAAGGTATCAACTCTCCTTCTATCATCCCCAGTCATTGTCCAGGTCTCTGATGTATAGCAAGTAATTGCAAAGACGATGGCCTGTATCAGGCACACCTCAGTCTCCAGACTGACATCATTACATAATACTTTGTCCCAGTTGTAGCACTCAGATTTAGCAATAAAAACAT